GTACAGTATTCTACTGAAACATAGTAATGTGTATGGTACTGTAAACACAATGTACAGTATTCTACTAAAACATAGTAATGTGTATGGTACTGTAAAGACAATGTACAGTATTCTACTGAAACATAGTAATGTGTATGGTACTGTAAACACAATATACAGTATTCTACTAAAACATAGTAATGTGTATGGTACTGTAAAGACAATGTACAGTATTCTACTGAAACATAGTAATGTGTATGGTACTGTAAACACAATATACAGTATTCTACTGAAACATAGTAATGTGTATGGTACTGTAAACACAATGTACAGTATTCTACTGAAACATAGTAATGTGTATGGTACTGTAAAGACGATGTACAGTATTCTACTGAAACATAGTAATGTGTATGGTACTGTAAACACAATGTACAGTATTCTACTAAAACATAGTAATGTGTATGGTACTGTAAAGACAATGTACAGTATTCTACTGAAACATAGTAATGTGTATGGTACTGTAAACACAATGTACAGTATTCTACTGAAACATAGTAATGTGTATGGTACTGTAAAGACAATGTACAGTATTCTACTGAAACATAGTAATGTGTATGGTACTGTAAAGACAATGTACAGTATTCTACTGAAACATAGTAATGTGTATGGTACTGTAAAGACAATGTACAGTATTCTACTAAAACATAGTAAATTCAGCACCATCGTGAGGAAGACAGAGATATTGAGATCAGTCACACTTGTAGAAGATCAGTACAAAAATGTCTGTCCAGAAATGCCTATCCAGGAACGTGAGACAATATGAAATGGCTTTTCTGAACAGTTATTTTTATATCAAATACAACTGTTTTTTGTCTGATAATTGTGTCAGTCATTATGATTAGAATGTTCAGGTGTGTGTTGCTGCACTATCAATAGTCAAACAACAGCTATTTTCTCTGATGGACTTGATAAAGCTTTGGCCTCTTAAAACGGCCATGTTCTGTGTTTATGATGCTGTTTTTTTTTTAAAGAACCACAGTGCTCCCTGCTGGCTGAAAGAAACATTGAATACAACAACATAGAGCCTCCGTAAACTGTACACAACACAGGTCAGATGCTGTGTGTGTGTGTAGCCTACATATCCATATAGGTGTGCATAAGTGTGTGTCTGTGTGTTTTAAAGTCCATGTGTATTGCGCATTCTCCACAACTCTACATGGCAGTCTCTGTTATCATCCTCAGGGGCGAGAGCACAACCGCAATAGTTTCCACCAAGAATTTGTCTGAATCACGGAGAGAGAACCTGCATGGCCAATGGGCAACTTCAATAAAGGCAATCTGAGGTTTCAGAAGCTATAATGATCAAAATCATCCACTGAGGTTTATTTTTCTGAGGGGACATGGCTGAGGGTTAGAGAATTCAGAGCAGTAATTAATAGTCTTAAGTGACTGTTGTTGGATACTCTCTGGGATGGTACTGTGAGCTGGTACTGTATCCCCCAGCGTCTGGTTGGCACGGCAGCAAGGAAATTGAGAAACTGTCTTACTACACTGTCATTTATCCAGGCTCCTCCCTCCATCTACCAATGCTGATCTCCTGTCACAAATGTTAAGGGAAAGTTGTCCTCTCGTCCACCCCCACCCTCAACACAGATATGCAAATGTCTACTGTATGTGTGTGTGTGTCTTGGACGTGTGAGGGAGGGGACCAGCTTCTTCTTGCCGTGGGTCGCGTTCTTGCTGCGCGCGGAAGGCTGGTTCTCCAAGTCCCTTATTGGGACCCAAAAGGCAGGCCTGGAGCACTGGGGTTGTGACTCTCTTCAGTCCTTCCACTGCTAGAGCCAGCAGGGTAGACAAGAAGACAGCAATCAGTCCTGACTACTGACGTGTACACTGAAAGAAAGTCACTTTTTTTCTTAGAGGTTGTAAAAGGTTTGAAATGTGTCACAGTCGGAGCTTATGCCCCTTTCAGAGGAATGAACCTACAAAAGCCCAAATATTTACTGAGTTTTGCCTGTATCTGCTCTTAAAAACATTGAATATTTTCTGGAGCCTCCTCACAATCTTTTGCTTCTATTACAACAAGGCCAACACTGATACACAGAAAGATTACGTACCAGGTTTGTTCATCCACAATCCTTTGTGAAAGCTGAAAGCTGTCTTGTCTCTGGTGTTGAGGGAGAAATTCAGTCCATGTCTATCTCCATCCATCTCAGGCTTTTCTCAAATTGTCACACAGCCGCCCCGTGTCTGGGCCCATGTTCGTTCCAGCCCGGCAATCGGAGGTAGCACCAATACGCAATTTCAACAATCCGTGCTGACAGCGTGCATGTCTCTGCTCACGACCTATCCCCCTCTATCTCGTGCATCTGTAGATTTAAATATCCAGACAATAACCTTACAGGTTATGAGAGGTAGCTGGGGAGACAGCTCTGCATAGGCCCTACATCCAAGCCAGACAAATCAGTGTAATGGGGGAAGAGATATCACGATTGGGGTATGCGGATGCCCCTGGAAGCCCTACGGCTGTATGGGTGACCCCACAGTACATTCTCTTACTAATGTGACCCGGGATTATGTATCACAATCGGCATGAGAAATACTCCCATGGGCTATGGATCGTTCCCGGCAACTGGAGATCGTTGTCCTCAACACATCTGTTTACATACAGGATGTGGCAGCTCCAAGGCATTTGGTGAAGGAGGCACACTTTAATGCTGCAGGCATGCATTTATGAAATCCCCACTAGGCTAAAAGTGTATGACATTCTGCAATACACAAACAAACACACCATTTTTTTGTATTTTTTTTTGTATAATACCTTGTTCTGTGGCATCTAATCATGTGTGATAGTCTGTGTACATATTCTTATAATTCATTTGCTTTCTGGGACAGCTTTTTTCTCCAAATTAGTTCTAAAAATAACCTTTGCAATAGCAGATGAAGTGCACATGTAGTGATGGGGATAGGCTACGTGCGAGGATGTGATGGGGATAGGCTACGCCGTAGCTCAGCTGGTAGAGCACGGCACTTGTAATGCCAAGGTAGTGGGTTCGATCCCCGGGACCACCCATACACGCATGCATGACTGTAAGTCGCTTTGGATAAAAGCGTCTGCTAAATGGCATATTATATTTATTTATTTATATTATATCAACAAGAATGCTCCATCCAAGGCTCTATTCGTTCTAGAATCAATCATAAAAGGGCCCTCGAATGATTCTGCTACTACTAGATGAAGAATGAGATTCAATATTATAGGCATACCGTCTTACGTGACACTGCATATTGGGTTTATTTATATTGGAATACTGTATTTATTCTACCTTTATTTTGCTGTAACCTGGTAAATTGAATCAGAACACATTCTCATTTACAGAAACGACCTGGAGAAGGGTTGCAGGGGCTCATCGGTGTACTCTCTGATCAATTCGACTTCATGTTATTGTGATGCATAACGTGCCAAGTGGGGACATGGTAGAGTTTTACCACAGGGTTTATTTTTTTTATTTTTTTTAAATCTTTTTTGAGTAACTGCCCTCCACGTCACCTCAACCTGGATGTTCAGATATGTGTGACAACCAGGGACGTGACTGACAGGAAGTAGTAGCACACGACACCTCAGCGCAGCAGTCACTTCCTATGATGTCATACACACACCTGGCCCTCATAGAGTTAATAAGCAGAGTTTGATTGACATCCGACATTTCATTATGGACGAGTCATAAGGAGACTGAACAAATCGAAATAGACATGACACACAACGGCAGACAGACATGCCAGGAGATACGGAGACAAACTTGCTGCAGGACTTGGGGAAACTAGACCTTCACTGTCATTTTGATTTAATTTTCCACAAATCTCATACAACGCAGTGAGGAAACAAGCATGTTGCTATGAACTGTAGGACCCTGTATACTTCCCATGTTTTGATAGATTCAGCTATAGGAAGGGTTTGAATTGTAGATTCAGCTGTAGGAAGGGTTTGAATTATAGATTCAGCTGTAGAAAGGGTTGGAATGATAGATTCAGCTGTAGGAAGAGTTGGAATTACGGGAGTGGCCGAAGGTGCAGAGCACTCCCATAACAAATCGGGGCACCCCTTTAGCCTATAATATTATCATGAGATAATACGAATATTATTGACACATTGGTTCTATTACATCACAAGTCTCCGCCCTCGGCCCCCTCTGCCTGTGCTTCTACATCTGCATTGCTTGCTCTTTGGGGTTTTAGGCTGGGTGTCTGTAAAGCACTTTGTGACAACTGCTGATGTAAAAAAGGGCTTTATAAAATATATTTGATTGATTATAATTTGATTATAAGGTGGAGCCAAGACATGCTGGAAAGTGCCATGTGAAAAGAAAATATCTATGCCATGCTGGCTTGGTACTGCTTGTGTTGGCATGAAAAGGATCATTGATTAGGCTAAGTGAATTAAAATGAGACTAGTATTTTCTGTAGGATAACATGCACATCCATTACTAAATACACTTTTAATTTATTAAAACTCCTCAGTTAACAGTATGTCTTATATTATTAACTAAATACCATACGATTTGTAAACACGAGCTATCCATCCACCAATTGAAACCTCTCTTTAATGTGCTTTCGTGGGTTCTTTCTTTTGCTATTTTATTCTCCTGAAATATTATTTTTTATTAATCAAGAAATATATAATTTTAGATATATGAATTAAACAATTACATGATAATTTATGTGTAGCCTACAATAAAAATATAAGCATGTTATAAATATGTTTTAAAATATTCAGGGAGAAAGCAGGCCTATTCTATTTTATTGTATAATTGTTTAATCTGGTCATTAAAGTACTTGATCTGATCTGATGCAATGTAACCTAACTAGCTAGCAGGGATAAAAAGACCACGTAATTAAAGGAAATAACAACCACTTTTCATGTCACCATTGGCTGAATTTGTTGTCCATTTGAGTCTAGTGGGCAGGAAGTACTAATTTTGACCAATCGTGTTGCCATCCCCTTGCCCAATAGACAGGTCGCAATGATGGCGTTGAGAGAGCTATCATCGCTGGAAAAAGCTTTAGGATTGAAAAAGCCTAACAAATACAGTACTCAGGGGGACAAGAAGGTGAATTTGCCATCTGATGGTTCCGGTCACAGTTATCGATATGTGCCAAATATGATAGACCTTACCACATGAACAGTAGGTTAAAAAGAGTACTCATGCTACTCTACTGTCCAATGGAAAAGCTAGCTAGCTAACAAGATAATGTCCGTAGCTTTCGCAACTATTTTATCTTCTATTTTAGCGAAAGTAGGTCACTTAGGAGCAAATAAGCTATAACTTTACAAAGTATAGCTAAGTTGTAGAGTAAATATGTAACAATCATTGTTTCAGCTAAAATGTGTTGTTATTAACCAGTTGACGTTAAGCTAACATTGAATGAATATGCTGTCTGGCCAGATAGATAGATAGCTAACGTTAGCTAGCTAACGTTACGTGGCCGTGTGGATTACTTAATGGGTTGCCAACATATCTTGCTGCTACTACTAAACGTACTATAGTTAATTTCAGTGGAGTGTGCAGTACTAGTTCTGTCTCAACAGCCTTTATTGCAATGCAAGAAACAAACACGCATACTGTACCTCCGAGGGTCGTGTACGTGACAGTCCATGTGTTTTGTTTAGGAAGCTAGCCAGCTATGCAACTAGTGCTTAAATAGTGTCTCTAACAGGATGTTGACAAGTAGTTACAGGGTTGTCGTTTTATTTCATGTGTCCATAATTCCTATCAGGCTCTTAGTGTATAATACACACCACATTCTCTTTCTCTCCCACCCAGGTACCCGTGCTCCATAGTAGTAATGGCCCAGCTCTGGTCGGCTTGGTGACCATCTCCACTCACCTGGTCCGCGAGGCCAAACTGCCCAAGTTGCTGGGTGGGTCAGCTGAACACAAGGCTTTAGTGCAGCAGTGGATGGAGTACAGGCTCACCAAAGTGGACGGATGCCACAAAGAAGACATCAAGACCATACTGAAGGTAGAGGCCCAGGAACAATAGTGAAGATTCTTCAGTATTAGAAAGTCTAACTTGCAAGTTAGTCAATTTGATTGTAGTCTCTTGTCAAACGAGAATGTGTACCACTACCCACTGTTTTTCATGAGAAGTCCCTTCTACCCTTGTGGGATAGACAGGCTTGGTGAGCTGTGTACGGAGAGGATCTAACAGGGCCTGGGAGAAGCCCCTGAGCCAAACTCTCCAACTCATGCTCCACCAGCCGGGGCCAAACTGACACTGTGTGGCTCGTTAAGGCGTGGTGACATGAATCAAGGCTGATATATGGCCCTTCAGTGACATGGCCGAGACGGGCAAAGCAGTGGACAACAGTAAATGTATTTAATGGGGGCCGCTGTCGACAGCTGGACAGGCACCTCTCGCCACTGGCTGTCAGGGTGACGTGCCGCACTGGCATCACTGAAAAGTCCTACGGATCCAGAGTGTGGATGTGAGTGTGGACAGGCCTTTTAAACATTTGAATGGTGCCACTTCCAGAAGTTACCCAGCTCTGTGCCCCCACGAGATGCTGCAGCTGTCCTGCTGGTTTACCAGAACTCTAATAGCACACCAATAATCCCAGAAATCAACGGGGTCAATGCGAGACACAATAACATCCGTTTTTGTTTTCACTTTTAAATCCTCCTGTGTGTCACCATTTTTAGTTTATCTGATTATGCGGAACATTAGATCTGAATTCAATAGTTACACTTTTGAATAGGGTTGACACGATACCAGTATTGCGATACTAAGATACCAGATTTTGCATGGCAAAAAAATTTAAAACACGAATTAGACTAAATGTAAAATTGTGGGTGCTATAGCTTGCATATAGGACCGTTTTCCCTTTCATCACTATGGTAGATAAGTCATGGTGCTATAACCCACAGCCTTGCTGCAGCAGGGAGGTCTAGTAGCCCCAGTGAGGGATATCAGAAGTCTCGGGAAGAATGTGGTTGGAGGGGGGGTGGAGAAGCAGGGCCCAGGTTCTGAACTCAATGTGGGGGGTGAAGGTGGAGATGGGGTGGGGGCAGTCTCCTGTCAGCTGTAGAGAAGGCAGGAATCTGATTGTGGCGGAGGAGGAGTCTGTCTTCATGCCTTGCTTGGCAGCAAACACTGCACAATAACTCCATTAGCTCTGAAGACGCTGTGTGTGTGTAGTGCTGAAGATGGTCCCATCCCTTGGGACCTGCACAACCACACTCAACCCCCCCATGCTTAGCCCAGCCGGAGTGGCCAGAGTTGTGGGGATGGCATGCCACGGCAGGCAGATATTCCCCCTCAGTTTGTGCATTGTTCAAGTACAGATACCGAGCTCTCCATCCGTACGTCCCAGATATATAGGTTCAATAGATCTCAGGCCTGGGTTGGCTCCACCGGCCACAGCTTTCGTCTTGTATTTCAACTCTTTTGACTATTGAAGAAGTTTATTTGGATATTCTGTATTTTACTGTGGATATATCATTATCACCCCTATCACGCTGGGAAAGTGTTATTGAGACATTTCGGGAGTTTCCCACTGCTGCTTTTACTGTTCAAATAAATGTTATATGGTTGATGAACATCGTTGGTTAACTTTTATTGAATCTAATGTCTAATTAGGTCATTATGATAAAGAAATGCTAAGATAATGTAATGAGTTGCATTGTAGTGATTCTGTGACTGTGGTGTTAAAGATGTTTGTAGGCGTTTGCCTCTATATTGAGGATCTGGGAAATTCTGTAAATATATATATTTTTTCTCATGCAGGACCTCAACAGCTATCTAGAAGACAAGGTTTACCTGGCAGGGAATCAGTTCACCCTCGCCGACACACTCATGTACTACGGAATCCATCACATTATCGTAAGTCTAGCGTCCAATAACCAAACAGAGCCGACTTCAATCAGAGTTGAAGTTAAAAGGCGGTTTGTCAAACGGAGCTCACAATTAAAAGAGTCATATGGTTAAAGGGCATGGGAGAGAGAACTTGACACAAGCAACAACAAAAAAAATGAGGCGCAAAGTGATGTCTTTAGCCCAGGCCTAGGAAGAAGTTTGTTGGCCCCCGGAGGCTGACGGGAAGAAATGGGATCACATGTTGAGAAATGTCAGCGGTTGTTGGCGGAGATGGATCCTTGCCACCAGGCACAAGGGAGTCCGTTTAGTTTTTATCATGGCGGTTAACCTCAGGACAGAGGTCAGTCAGCAGCCTAGGTCCTCATTGTATTTGGAGGACTGAACCCAACTGGCATGATGTTAGACTATTTCAGGGACGGTACAGCTAGCTAAGACCAGGTTTGGGCAGCATCACAATGAACCTGAAATGGGATTGTCTAATATGTTCACTTAGTAAAGTGTTATTCTGTTCAGCTAAAATTACTTGTTTTGTGGGGAAAGAGATGTGACTTAGTAACAAGTTAGTAACAAGCAGAGTTGCTACAGTAGTTTGGGTATTAGCTAGATAGCTAACCAGAAAGATGCATTTGGTTCATAACATTGCTAGCCATTTTCTTTCCTTGCTGCCTTGTAATGTCACAGTAGCGTCATTCTCAACCTTTTAGCAACGTAGCGTCATTCTCTACCTTTTAGCAATGGCAAATGGAAACAATGTTAGGAGAGATGGAGATCTCCATCTCTACAAAAAAAAAAAAATTTGCCCTTGCTAAAAGGTATTCTAATTTTAAAACCTACAAACACTATTTCATGTAAAGGACCTTTTTAAAGAGCACAGACGGCCACCCATCATTTTAAATGAAACAATTCCAGATTTGTACTGCATAGTATGGAGCAACCGTGGAAACAAGGAATGTATCCCCCTCTCTCCCAGGTGGGCCTGGCCGTCCAGGAGAAGGAGAAGCACATGAACGTGACGCGGTGGTTTGACCACATCCAGCACTACCCCAGCGTCCGGCACCACCTACCCCCAGTGGTGGTCCTGAGGAACAGAGTGTATACCAGCGGCTACCACTGAGGTCTCAGGGTGTACTGCTGGCTGCCAGGATGGCCGAGGGCCGGCGTGAGGAGTACACAGGCGTGTGCTGACGTCTCAACCTACCTAACACGACTATGGCCCCTCCCTTGCCTTTGAGACATTTGGTTATTTTTCCCTCTAAAACCCCCAGGCGAATAACACATGCAATGGAGAAATGATCACAAGGAGATTATTATTATTTTAAATGTAAGCTTTATTTAACTAGGCAAGTCAGTTAAGAACAAATTCTTTATTTATTATTATTTATTTTATTTTATGTCATTTAGCAGACGCTCTTATCCAGAGCGACTTACGGGAGCAATTAGGGTTAAGTGCCTTGCTCAAGGGCACATCGACAGATTTTTCACCTAGTCGGCTCGGGGATTAGAACCAGCGACCTTTCGGTTACTGGCACAACGCTCTTAACCACTAAGCTACCTGCCGCCCTACACCGGCCAAACCCGGACGACGCTGGGCCAATTGTGCGCCGCCCTATGGGACTCCCAATCACGGCCGGATTGTGATACAGCCTTGAATCGAACCAGGGTGTCTGTAGTGACGCCTCAAGCACTGAGATGCAGTGCCTTAGACCGCTGCGCCACTCGAGGCCGAAAATGATAGTTTTTTTTTTGTTAGTTGGTTGTTGGAGTCTATTGCCGTCAGGGTCAATGTGCAGGTATAGTCTGAAACGGGTTCCCTGAGAGCATTCTTGTTTTAGGCTTTGCTGATACCTCTTGTCTTTTCTGTTAACCTGAGCCTTGAATGTAAAAAAAAAAAAAGTATTATACAAAATTACTTATTTGTTTGCTATGTCCGTTTAAAGAAGGCTTTTTCAATGTATCAACATTTACATTTTCCTCAAACAAAACTAAATATGTTCCAGTCCGCCCAACTGTGTGTTCAGCTGTGTAATCATCATCCTCCACAGATGCCCAGTACACTATCAACTTTCCGCCCTCATGAATTTAGTCTTGTTTCTCAAGCTGCTGCTTCTGCTGTTCCACCAGCAGCCTCTAGCTCAGAGTCACTCAAATCAATCTGTGTGTTGATGCTGAGGGGCAGAGGGCAGACTACCAGCTGCCATAGATGCCCCAGTGCGCCTCTGTCCAACGCCAGAGCCCTGGGTGACAGCCACCCATTGTCATTTCACCCTCTTACCCAGGGGCGGGAAATCCTTTTGTGACACAACATCCGAGCGACACGCTCGAACCACTCACACAAGCAGACTGGATTTAGCCATTAGCTCTGTCAGCAGTGGAAATCACAGCTAATATACACTACATGACCAAAAGTATGTGGACACCTTTTTGTCGAGCATCTCATTCCAAAATCATAGGCATTAATATGGAGTTGGCCCCACCATTTTCTGCTATAACAGCCTCCACTCTTCTGGGAAGGCTTTCCACTAGATGTTGAAACATTGCTGCGGGGACTTGCTTCCATTCAGCCACGAGCATTAGCAAGGTCGGGCACTGATGTTGGGCGATTAGGCCTGGCTCGCAGTCGCCGTTCCAATTCATCCCAAAGGTGTTCGATGGGGTTGAGGTCAAGGTTCTGTGCAGGCCAGTCAAGTTCTTCAACACCGATCTCGACAAACCATTTCTGTATGGACCCGCTTTGTGCACGGGGGCATTGTCATGCTGAAACACTAAAGGGCCTTCCCCAAACTGTTGCCACAAAGTTGGAAGCACAAATCGTCTAGAATGTCATTGTATGCTGTAGCGTTAAGATTTCTCTTCACTGGAACTAAGGGGCCTAGCCCAAACCATGAAAAACAAACATTACAGTTGGCACAATGCATTGGTGCAGGTAGCGTTCTCCTGGCATCCGCCAAACCCAGATTCGTCCGTCGGCCTCCCAGATAGTGAAGTGTGATTCATCACTCCCAGAGAACGTGTTTTCACTGATCCAGAGTCCAATAGCGGCGAGCTTTACACCACTCCAGCCGACGCTTGGCATTGCACATGGTGATCTTAGGCTTGTGTACGGCTGCTCGGCCATGGAAACCCATTTCATAAAGCTCTCGACGACCAGTTCTTGTGCTGACGTTGCTTCCAGAGGCAGGTTGGAACTCGGTAGTTAGTGTTTTGCAACCGAGAAAAGACGATTTTTATGTGCTTCAGCACTCGGCGGTCCCGTTCTGTGAGCTTGTGTGGCCTACCACTTCACGGCTGAGCTGTTGTTGCTCCTAGATGTTTCCACTTCGCAATAACAGCACTTACAGTTGACCGGGGCAGCTTTAGCAGGTTTTGTTGAAAGGTGGCATCCTATGACGGTGCCACGTAGAAAGTAACTGAGCTCTTTTAGTAAGGCCATTCTACTGCCAATGTTTGTCTAATTTGAAGGGGTGTCCACATACTTTTGTGTATATATAGTGTATATATTGGATTTAATCACAGCGTTTGCACAACAAAAGAGTTGGGTTATCGTTGTCTGTCTTAATTATTGAAACTTAATCCGGTGTATCAAACTGCTAACTGGTTTGAGTTGTTTCACTTTCACCCAGCCTGTGTTTTGTCATGTAAACCCTTTTTACCCTTCTCTAGGTTATATTAAGCCTTCCTTGTGACATGTATGCTGCTTTAATGGTATAGTTTGTGTTATTGAAGTATACAGAAGGTCGTCCTGTGCCAATAAAAAAACAAAGATGATCGTTGTCTCATCTTATTCTATTAATCAATTCCTTTTTTCACATTTTGTGGGTCCATCGACGTAAATTCGTTTTTTCACACTGGTGGTTCTGTACAACGGCAAACAAAGTGCTGTGTGTTCTGGAAAGTGTAAACTTGTGAAAGCAAACATCTTGCAGTCATTTGAGCAGGCCTTGTGACTAGATTAGGAAGAACATTGCACGACTGGACCATAATAGAACCACTGTCCTGTTGTTTATTTCAGTCCCATTTAGATATCACTGCTGCTGAATCAAAGAGAAGCTTAGCACAGCATGTCATGCTTTATCTTTGACGTGTCGGCAAGATTGAGGAGACTGAACTTAAGACTTTTTACGCGCGTATTAACTTGAAATTAGTCTTTCTGAAGTTTTGTGTGCTGACTAACGCTGTATTGTAAAAAAACGGCAGTGGCATAAGGTTTCCAGCTTTGCAGCTGATGATCAAACCAAAGTCAAGACAACCCCAGACATGAAGCCACAGCGGGTATCCCAGACAGCCCAATTAGTAGGACCTTCTCCCGGTCATCTGAAGACTGAGGTGCACCTCTCTACAGGGGTGGACTGCCACAATGAGCTCACATTTAGATATTTCCCCTCCTGGCAGCGGAGGCAGCCTTCATTTCCCCCCACCCCCTGGTCGGTGATAGTTCAGGGGTCAATTGGCTCGGTGGATCAGCAGCGTTCACTGGTGACTTCAGCTCTCACCAGGAGTCCATCTCTCAGTGTGTGGTCCGGACCAGACGCCACCTGTCGATCGCTCCTCTTCACGGCCACAGGGGGGTTTCGCTGTGGGAAGGGCATGGGGACAGAGTTCAGGGCCAGGTGGGGTGATGTCGCTCTACAGACAACTATCTGAAGGACCACACCTCTGTTGGGTATCACCTTTTAAAGTGTAGGTAGGAGTGTCACATGTTCCACAGGTCAGGAAGTAAATGGTGCCATGCAGAAGTTGTATTCAGGCGGCTTCCAGTAGCTGGTCCCTTAGTACGATCTCCCTAATGAGCGGCAAATGTGTGGGGGTCACGTCACACAACACCCCACGGTGTTAGTTAGTCTGCCATGTCGGCACAAAAACATTTTTTTTGTTACATCTCGTTAACGAGATCGAGAGCGGCGCATCCGACGGGACACGTATCTGGCAAAACAGCGTTCCCTGATTGATTCAATGAAACAATCAACACTGTGTGGGGGCGTGTTAGCGTGTTGTAAGCGCTTTTGACAGGCCTTGCCTTATCCTGCCATTACAGATAGTGATAATTCTACCATGCGTCCGTAAAGATGGCATCTGATTGTCAATTGCAATTACACAAGTGCAGAGGCGAGGATCGGGGGGGGGGTAATGTTCTCTTTAAACACTCTTTAGTACAGTCATTGGTTCAGACTTCCATTGCTTGAAGGCAAGTTGGGAAATACATTTTGGTCTGTTGACGGTTTATTATCCTTATCTCCAGACAGCTTCTGGATTAGAAACATAGTAAAAAATAGCCACCCTTTGCCTTGATGACAGCTTTGTACACGCTTGGCATTCTCTCAACCAGCTTCATGAGGTAGTAACCTGGAATGCATTTCAATTAACAGGGGTGCCTTCTTAAAAGTTGATTTGTGGAATGTCTTTCCTTCTTAATGCGTTTGAGCCAATCAGTTGTGTTGTGACAAGGTAAGGGAGGAGGGGGGGGGGGGGGGGGGGGGGGGTTTACAGAAGAAAGCCCTATTTGGTAAAAGACCAAGTACATATTATGGCAAGAACAGCTAAAATAAGCAAAGAGAAATGACAGTCCATCATTGCTTTAAGACATGAAGGTCAGTCAATATGGAAAACTTCAAGAAAGGTTCTTCAAGTGCAGTCGCAAAAACCATCAAGCGCTATTATGAAACTGGCTCTCATGTGGACCGGTACAGGAATGGAAGACCCAAAGTTACCTCTGCTGCAGAGGATAAGTTCATTAGAGTTAGGCTGTGTCTTTGTGAGATGCAGAGTAGGTGAATGGATGATCTCCGCATGTGTATTTCCCACCGTAAAGCATGGAGGAGGAGGTGTTATGGTGTGGGGGTGCTTTGCTGGTGACACTGTCAGTGATTTATTTAGAATTCAAGGCACACTTAACCAGCATGGCTACCACAGGATTCTGCAGCGATACGCCATCCCATCTGGTTTGCGCTTAGTGGGACTATCATTTGTTTTTCAACAGGACAATGACCCAACACACCTCCAGGCTGTGTAAGGGCTATTTTACCAAGAAGGAGATTGATGGAGTACTGCATCAGATGGCCTGGCCTCCACAATCCCCCGAAATCAACCCAATTGAGATGGTTTGGGATGAGTCGGACA